CCCCAAAACCCCAAAACCCCAAAACCCCAAAACCCCTATAAATTGGAGCAAAATTGACGATTTGTTAGAATATTAATAATCCAAATCGAAAATGGAGAGCGAAAGAAAGCAAATGATTGTCCAGGTGGAAAAATCTGGTATCAAGTTTTACGATCAGTCTGGAGTAGCACACGAAGCCTCCTCTGATGTATCTCTTGAGCCAATGGCCATTCTCACAGAAGGGGACGCTACAGTTTTGAACATGGACAACGAAATGATACAGATTAAAGACATAGTTAATATGGATGTCTCATCAATTGCTTTCAGCCCTAAGAAGTCATACCTAGTAGCATGCTGCAAGCCAGTAGAAGGGCAAAACAACCTATTTATACTTGACAAGGATATAAAAATAGTTGCAGAACACTTGTGGAAGGGTTCATCAGTTGATGGTTGCAAAAACGTTTCCTGGGGCAACGATGAAAAGTATATGGCAAGAAAAGACACACCCAGCTCCAAGAGCGTTTACGTTTACGAAGTTGCAGAGTCTCTCCAGAAAGAGGTTGGCATCATCACTGTCGAGAAGAGAGTCAACAACTTTGAAGTAGCCCCACATGGAGGAAGTGAAGATAAACCTCATTTCCTAGTTGTAGGAACTTGAGGTGAAACATCTAGTTTGACAAGATTTTATCAACTACCTAACTTTGAAAAGGAAAAATTTAAAAACTTGTCCAGAGGAGGCCAAGAAATTAATTTCGTGTTTGCTCCAGACGGTCATGCAGTTATTATTTGGGCCTCCTTTGATGTTGACAGCACTGGCCAAAATTACTATGGCCAGCACGACCTTAGATATGTGCAACTAGGTGGGGGAAACAAGCGTTCAAAAGTTGCTGTCTTTGATAGCCAGGTCTCTGATGTTGCTTGGTCTCCAGACTCTCAAGACTTCATCGTAATTTCTGGAAAGCAACCAGCTGTTTGTACCCTTTACAATAATAATTGTATTCCCACTTTTGAATTCGGTAGAATTCATGCAAATACTATTAGATACTCTCCATTTTCAAACCTAGTGCTGCTAGGCGGGTTTGGAAATCTAGTTGGTGGAATACAAATTTGGAATAAAGAAAATTTAAAACTCATCGGAAAGAACAAGGCTCACTGTACAGTTGTGTGTGAATGGTCCCCTGATGGATCACAAATTTTGACGGCAGTCACCCACCCAAGAGTCAGAATCGATAATGAACTCAAGCAATTCACCTACTATGGGAAACAGATCCAACACAGAAAAATTGATAACACAGACGCTCTGTTTTTCGCTGGATGGCAGCCTCATGACATTTCTGAGTTCACTAAAATCGAAGTTCCCGAAGATTTTGAGGAGTATGATCCTGAAACAGATCCTGAAGAGCAAGAGAAGCCAAAGCCTGCTGCAAAAAGAGGCAGACTTGTCTTCCCAAGATCAACAGCTTTCAGTAGTATGATGAGAAACGAAATGAATTCAGTTGCTACTCAAGGTCCAAGGAAGCTGAAGAAAGATGACTACAAAGAGTACATGCTGGAATCTGTTGAGGAAAAGAATGCTCTCAAAGCAAAGCCAAAGCCAAAAGCTAAGGTTGCTCCCAAAAATTCGTGGAGAAGGAGCGGAGGATTTGAGATTCCTTCAAAAGAAGACCAAGAAGCTGAAAATAAAAAGAAGGAAGAAGAGGAAAAGAAACTAACTCCAGCACCTGTAGAATATAGAGCTCCCCCTCCTTCTCAAAAGAAGGAACAAAATCTCAACGAAAGTAACAAAGGGAATAATGATGGAGGAAATCAGCAAAGCAAAAATAAGAAGAGAAGAAACAGAAATAAAAAGAAGAAGAATCAAGTTAAAGGAGGACCTCAAAATGCTACTCCAGCACCTGCACCAGCTCCTTCTGCTTACCAAGGTCATGGATATTACAACCAGAAACAAGACTTTAATTCCCAAGGTTACTACGAGGAGGGATATGGGTATGATCAAAACTATGATTACTAAAGCATCTCGTATCTTCTGTCAAGAGTCTTGAATATAATTCAACCTAATTGGCTAAAAATGGGGTTTTGGGGTTTTGGGGTTTTGGGGTTTTGGGG